AAGGTTTATTCAGGTACAAGCTCTCCCTCCTCTGTGAGGACAGAGCTGCACGTTCCCCCCCCCCAATAGCTAGCAATCCAAAACAGTCCAGTGGAGCCTGAGCGGTGGGTGTTGCCTTCTGACACACTTCTGGTGATGTCAGGGGGTGTGGCATATGCAAATAAGTTATGCTAATGACCTCCGTCACCTCTTTTTTTACGAAATGACCCCTGCTGAGGAATACAAAGCAGTTTGTGGCAGAAAGTGCCCTCAAGTCACCGCTGACTTATGGCGACCCCTCAAGGGGCTTTCAGGGCAAGAGACGTTCAGCATCACGGGCCTGGTATCCCTTGGTGGTCCCCCATCCAAATACTAGCCAGGGCTGGCCCTGCTTGGTATGGCCCATTAAAGGGTTTGGGACAGTGGGTTGGACTTTTCCACCACAGGTACCAAAAGGCCTCAGAATAGCCCTTTAGAAATGCCTTAGCTGCGATGAGAACTCTTTCATTCAAACAACATCACACATGATCTTTTTTTTCCATGTGAAAAAGTTTTTTGCTTTATCTAGCCCAGAACTGTTTATTGTAACTGGCAGGAGTCCAGGCGGCGCGATTCCTCGAGCCCCTTAGAGTGGAGATGCCAGTCGCTGCAAAACTGGGACCTTCCGCGGGCAAAACCTTTGTGCTCAGCTGCGGGGGCCCGTTCCAAAACAGCGCCTTGTGCAGGAACACGAAGATCGACCTCACCCCGAGAGGAATCCTCAACCTCTCTAGGCCTGGTCTCAACCACAAAGGCTGGCGGCCGCTCGCCACAGGCTCCGAGAAGGCCGCCTTTCCTAACTCAGCTGTCTGATCGTTTTAAACCGGAAATGGAAAGGACAGAATCTGGATTCCTCGACATGTCCCGTAACACTGAGGAAGGAGAACAAGGCAGTGAGCGTGTGAATAACCCTCAGGTGGCACAGAAGGACAACCTCAGCTCAGAGAGCAGGGCTATTTTTGGGCAGGAACGCACAGGAACGGAGTTCCGGCTGGCTCCCAAGTTGGCCATGCCCAGCAGGAACTCATTAGCATAATAGGCCACACCCAACAGCAGAAACTCATTAGGATTGGCTACATTAGGGGTGTGGCCTAACATGCAAAGGAGTCCCTGCAACAAAAAAAGGCCCTGGGTTTTGACAACAAACAAGGTAAACAGAATAACAAGCAAAAGGTGGGTGTGGCTGGATGACCACACTTCTGGCAACACGGGGCTGCGGCCTAATATGCTAATGAGCTGTGGTGTCAGGGTGTGGCCTGGTATGCTAATGAATTTCAGCTGTTGGGTGTGGCCTATTATGCTAATTAGTTCCTGCTGGGCTTTTTCTACAAAAAAAGCCCTGTCAGAGAGAATCTCTGTCATTCTTCCGTAGTTGGTGGTCATACAGTCCACCCTCCAACACATCCATTTTCTCCAGGGGAACTGATCTCTGTAGCCTGGAGATGAGCTGTAGTTCTAGGGGATCCCCAGGTCCCACCTGGAGGCTGGGATCCCTAGACCAAAGTACCATAGCCTCACTTTAGTCATTTTAGCCTCTAGGGAGACTTCAGGCTTGAGTTGATCTAGAACCCACTTAGGGTTGCCAGCTCCGGGTTGGAAAATACCTGGAGACTTTGGGGGTGGATCCGGGAGAGGGTGGGGTTTGGGGAGGGGAGGGGCCCCAGCATGGTACAATGCCACAGAGTCCACCCTCCAAAGCAGCCGTTTACTCCAGGGAGATCGGCTGGAGATCAGTTGTAAAAGCAGGAGATCTCCAGGTCCCTCCTAGAGGCTGGCAACCCTAAACCCACTTATTTGTCTTTTTGGCGGTATCCACCATGGAGCTTCAATGCAACTAAATGTCTGCCTTTTACTTTGTGTGTGAGAGCAACATCCAGCTCTACCACAGAATTCCGTGGATACCTCAGTGTGTCACTATGTAGGCATACCGGTAAATATTAAAACGATTTTTGCCTCACCCTTCTAACATAGCTCAGTACAGCTTGCAACTACTACGCATAACCAGAAACCAGACATGCAAGGATAGAGCTGGAAATCGCCTTCACACATTCAGCAGATGTCCCAGTGCAATTTGTGAGCCACGCTTCTCAGAGTCTTTTTTTGACCCTGCAAATATCTCACTTGGTGGCAGTCAGTAAATTCTGCTGAGGAACCAGCCCACTGCTTATAAGCCTGCCTGAAACTCTTCCAGAACTCCCTCGGATACTCTCTTACCTTTGAAGACTCTGGTGGCCCAGCGGGCCTGGAGCTCAGCTATGGGCATAATGGCTCCCAAAGGCTGGAGGAGACCAATGATGGCCAGTGTGGATCTTTCTAGGTGCGGTGGGAAGACGAACTTATAAAGCGGAACCTGGTTGTTCCTGACATTAATGATGCTGTCATCGATGAAGGGGAAGGAGAAGTTGTATCCCGTAGCGAAGATCACGACGTCGATGTTTTCCTCATGGCTGCCGTCTTCAAAAATCACTCCTCTCTCAGTGAACTCCCTCACATTTGGCTTCATCAACACCCTGCCAGAAATGATCGCATTGGGGAGGTCATCTGCTGCAATGGGATACCTGCTGAGGAACCTGCAAGATGAAGACAAAACAAAGATTTCCGATCCTCTTGCCCGGCCAGGCTTATGAGGACTTCAGTTCTGGCGCTCTTGAGAGAGGTCGTTGGATCTGGAGATTCCCACCCATCTTTCCCACCCGTGTCCCAGCCTTCTGACTCCGTCTTCAGAAAAGCTGTCTAAATTTGGTTTCGTTTCCACACCTCAACAGTGCTAGCATACTTTTGCACGTCCACATATGTTTATCACCTTCTCGTGGCGGTGCCACTGTCATTGCGCCTCCCCCACTGCTTTAAAAGAATCTTCTCCAAACAACGTTTAAACAAGGATAGAGAAAGATGGTGTCACAGCAGCACGAAACTGATTTAAAAATGCAAATGCAGATTTGACCCTTGTTTGAATGTTGTTTGGAGAAGATTCTTTTAAAGCAGTGCAGAGGTGCAATGACAGTGGAACCGCCCCAAAGGACGATAAACACATGTGGACGTGCAAAAGTATGCCAGCACTCTTGAGGTGTGAAAACGACACCAAATGTAGACAGCTTTTTTGAAGACGGAGTCAAAAGGCTGGGACACCGGTGGGAAAGGCAAATGCAGATTCGGCCAAGTGTCTCAGTTGCTGGCAGTCACTAAACTCTCAGAGCATTTTCAGACAATCCGAATATTTTTGGACAATAATCACACCTTCTTTAAGGCAAATATTCTGTCACAGTTTATAGTTCAAGAGGAAAATCCTACACAAATTAAGAAGCAGATGGCAGCCAATTTAGTCCAAAGTAGGAGACAGACTGAATAAAGTAACTTAAGAAACAGTGAGATAATCTGTGGGATCATGGATTCAGAAAGAACATTCAAGACTAATTTGATGCCTTCTGAGGACCTTTGGAGGCACCAAGTGATATCTTAAAATAGAGAAAGCCAGCTCCAGAGGGTGGGATATCAGCCTGATTAGACTGTTTGCCTGTGCTTGAAGACTTCTGAGCAGATTCAAACATTTTCTTTATCTCCCCAACAACACAGAGTGGAATACTGAGTACAGAATTTGGTTTAATTGGAGAAGCATGCATATAGGTTACGCCTGTAAATATCAGCTTATGTGGGCAAAGCCTAGTAAAATCTCAGAAGTCAGAGTTGTCGCTGAATAAAATCCCAGTAATCAAAGTTGAAGTTTTGACAGGAGCATTAAAAAACCCCAAATGATTAAAATTACAAAAACTGCAGAATACTTTATGTAAAATGAGATAAAATAGGAGGAGGAGAAGGAGAGGTGGTTTTATACCCTGCCCTTCACTACCCTAAGGAGTCACAAAGTGGCTTACAAACACCTTCCCTTCCTCTCCCCACAACAGACACCCGGTGAGGTATGTGGGGCTGAGAGAGCTCTGAGAGAACTCTGACTGGCCCAAGGTCACCCAGCTGGCTGCATGTGGAGAAGTGGAGAATCAAACCTGGTTCTCCAGATTAGAGTCCTTCACCATTATACCACAGCTGGACAGTTTACATAGGTTGTGGAATTCATCTTCGCATAGAATTTGGATTTCTTTGGCATAGAATTCTGTGTATTAATACATGAGCTAGAACATTTTTTTACAATTCAGGAAGGAGCTGTCTCGTTTCATTGAATTTTTCTCATTTTGCTCTTTAAAATCCTCTTTTTTGAATTTCACTTGCACATTCCTTCCCCTCCCCAAATCTCTAAAAACTCAGAAATCTGAGTCTTACCTGTGCTGAGGTTTTATACCATAATTCTCGTGGTTAAACCTGGTATTCAGTTTTCTCTCACCCCACAGGTTCACCAAAGCTACGGGAAGAGTTTGGCGAAGGAGGGTTTTGAATCGCGTAAAATGCACTACATCCAAGGGGTACCCATTGTCAGAGACCCGATTTACCACCCAGGTGCCAGTCCTGGTGCTCAGAAAGATCTGCAAGGAGGAGAAAGGAGCAAATTAAGGAGGAAATCCCCCCTGACTGATGCTGCAAGCCAAGGGTGGTCAGTCCAACCTGTGAGATATAATCAGTGGGGAGCAACTTTCTACTTATCTTCCTTCTTCGATTCAAATGTTTGCATGTTTTGGGCTCTGACACCACAGACAGAACTTCCATATCGCCTTAGACTTCAAAGTGGAATCAGTTAACATAATAATTAAGGTCTGATCAATACATGCAGCAAAATGAATCGGAAATGAGGACTGTAGCATTTCAGATTGCAAACAGGAGATCAAATTTTCAAACATTGCCCAACACAAAAACTACCTGCAAGAAGAAAGCTAGATTGGCAGGGACAGAAAATTTATCCCTGATGTGCTAGTTTTCCATTTCCAGAGAGTTGTTTTTATACAGCATCCCTCTCACTTGCAATTTCCTGCATAAGATTTTGCCTTATCTCCACCCCTGCTCCACCGGGCACCCCCTTGTTCCAACCACAGGACTAATATTTTGGAAATCAAAAGCTGGCAATGCTAGCTAGGTGCAATACCTTGCCATGTGTCTCTTTCCATTCTCTTTTCAAAATCAAAACCAACATCCAAAACAGAAGCAGGGGACGGACTACTTAACCTTTCCCCACTGGCTGTTCGTCCTTTCAAAATCAGCCCCTGAGATGCAGTCCAGTTACCTGAAAGCCTGCCGCTCTTAACCACTACACCGTGCTGGCTCTCTGGTGCACAGATTTGGTTAATACATTCTCTTGTGTAGTTTTTCAGCTAAAAATCATACAAAGATCATGTACATGTATAAGGAGAAAAGCAGCTTGGGAAAGGTGCCAGTGAGTAGATTATAAACGGCCAAATGGTGGGAAGGGAAACTTCCCTGCCCTCTGCTATTTTTCTACCTAACCTGGAAGCTGCCACAGAATTTTGCTGAGCTGGGAATTACCTCGTTGAATGCCAGAGTCACTGTCAGAATTCTATCCTATCGGAGAAAATGTTTAGAACGACCCCAGGGTTCTCTGGGAGGGGTTAAGTTTTAGTTTGCACCTGAAAGCCTCCAAGAGATTAGGTGACCAGTTGGCCTCAATTCAATTGAATTCAATTGGCCAAGGTGCAATAATAAAGCATAATAGATATTGCTTCTATGCTGGAGTAGACACATGGAAAGACTGTAGACTGTGCTTCTATTATGCTTTATTATTGCACCTTGGCCAATTGATTTATATTATACTTGCTGTTATACTTATTTGATTTATATTATACTTGCTGTTATGCTTATTTGATCATTATATACTTGCTTATTTGCTTGTGCATTCAGTTTCTGTCAGTGGTGTTTTCTTTTTTGCTTCTTGTATGGTACCTGGAGGTTGGCAACTCTACCTCTGAGTGTTTTTTGGTAGGATGACAATTATTCATGCTTGGGGGGGTATACAATTATGTATTTTATTGCTCCAGTGCTATATCACCTCTTCTTGTATATCGCCTTGAATCTCTTTCAAGAAAGACTAAGAAGTAATAAATAAATAACCACAGTGTGCCATTTGCCCCCAGGGGCCCACTGAATAAGGCGGCACTTCGCTTTGAATAAGCAGACAAAGGGTCAGGTCACTAAGCCCCATTAAAAGCAACACACTTGTGCAACTAACTTAGACCAGTGGGACGAATTGTAGCCGGATCAGGGCCCCAAATCCAGCAACCACGTCCAGCATCATTACCCATTTTGAGAACACAAAGTAAATGTGTGGTCACCTGCTTAGTGATATGGCTGAGGTCCACAGAGATGTCTGCTCCCGAATTTCCTAAGCCGATCACCAGAATCCTCTGGTCCCGGAATTCTTCGGGATGTTTATATTCCCGGCTGTGAATAATTTTCCCCTTAAACTTCTTGACCCCTGTGAAAACGGTGAGAAGGAAAGCACAAATAAAAGCAGTAAAGGTCAGCAGGGGTACAGAGCTTGAGACGGTGCCCAAAGGGGGATCGCTATGGACATCGTAATGGCTCATGCTCCATAAGCACACAAAACTGTCTTATACAGAATCAGACCACTAGCCTAGCGAGGTCAGTCTTATATCCCTGTCCCTGACCAGCAGTGTCCATCCAGGTATAAAGGTTTCACATCACCTGAACCCAGGCCCTTAGCCAGGATTTTGTGGCTTGTGGGGCAATTTTTTTCCTAGTGGGGCTGAAGTTCTCAGTGCAGAAAGAAAAGCCATTTAGCCAGTAGGAAGCTGTCACCAGGATAGATCTCTAAATATCAAGCAGTCAACCACTTTAGATGACCATAGAGTTTTTGGCCAAATGCTAGAGTGTCCCTCCCCCATGACGTGCCTAGCATGATGACATCACTTCTGGGTGACATCATTGTGGGGCGCGCACAAGAAGATCCAGAAGAGCAGCCTGGAGTCCCCCGCTGGCAGAAGGTGGGGACCTGGGAACCCTAATCTGGACCCTCCTATGTGCCATCTAGAGGCAGGGATTCATTCACAAGACTGAGACCAGCTCTGCAAAGGCAGTTCTTCTGCCCTCGGTCTCCCATTTCCCGTGGTTGTACGGCTCAGTCCCCCACTATTTACTGCACGGCTCCATTTTGACCTGCATCTCTCCCTGATTTCCCTGATCCTTATTTTTTAGGATCAAGAAGACATGGAGGAAATCAGGGGGAGACGTGGGTCTAAATGCGGCTGCACAGCAAATAGTGGGAAATTGAGCAGTACAACTGCGGGGGAACGGCAGACTGAGGCAGAACAACTGCTTTTGTGGAATTAGTCTGAATGTTCCTTCAAACAAACAGCAAATCCCTACACACAGACAATGACCATCAGGGAGAACCTTAGGCTTGAACCCTGACATCTAATATTGACTATGAATGGGTGTGTCCCCCCCCCCCATGGAAGATCATTCAACCGTGAGCCCCACCTGTTGTCTGTAGGATGAATGCTGCCTACTTTTCAGGTGCAGCTTTAGTCTCTCCCGATATTGTTTTGCATCCCACCATCATTGAAGACAGATCTCTGGCAATGTTTGATTTCTGATCAAGGCCACTCTGTGCTTTCTTTTTCATTCCCACCCCCTCCTCCATATATGTGCATGTGCTAGATCCTACCTTATTGTCCTGCAATCTGTACACAACACCATTTACCCAGTGCAACCATGTTTTAATGAGTGGATAGCCTAGTGCACACTTACTTGGGAATAAGTGTTGCTAAAATCAGTGGAGCCTGCTTCTGAGTAAACATGCATAGGATTGGGACCCCCAACTCTACTTCAAAGAGCAGACACAGTTATAATACTAATTGGTCCTCATAACAGTGTGTTAAATTTTTATATTACAGTGAAGGAAGGAAGCTTCCTATCTCTACCCACCTAACAATTTAGCTGTGGGGTCATTCTTACCTCCCCGCCCCCTTTTAGAAGTTCATTAGGGATTTGATATTCCAAAGCCCGATCTAGACTTTTGCAAGACTATGGGGCCTCTGTCACACACACTTCCTGTATATATCATGCACATTTCCTGTCATTATAGGCGAAGCAGGCTAGCTCTCTACATTAAATAAATTTAATAGTGGAACAGAACAGATGTCAAATGGTCTCCACAGAATCCTGAAGCCCTTTCCAATGTTGTAACCAAGGCTCCCTCTAAGCCATGGAGTTGTAAACAAAAATTCTAATTTGTGAGCTCCTGGCATTCAAGTTGTGAGTGAGCGATTTGGCTACTGCCTAAATTAGTTTGCTCTGGAGCCCCATCCCTTCCTGAGCGGAGACAAAAATGCGTGAGCCGGAGGCTAAAAAATTGTGAGCTGGCTCACGCTCACTCAGCTTAGAGGGGACACTGGTTGTAATCCACTTACCAGGAAATGAGTCCAGAGGAAAATAAGGGTACACATGATGGCCGGTACAGACCATAATAGCATCGAAGATGGTGGACTCCCGCTTCCCATACATTTCTGTTACAACCTCCCATTGGCCGGTGGTGGGGAAATCTGGCCTTTTCCTTATCTGACAGACACAGGCCTGGAAGACAGGGATTTGGATTTAGGGCAGGTTTCACAGTGATCATTGCACAGGACTGAAGCGTATTGTTTGTTTATTTATTTATTCATTTATTATTACTTAATTTATTTATTTATTCCATTTGTATCCCGCCCTCCCCGTGAACAGGCTCAGGGCGGATTACATTAGTCGGTAAAAGGTACCATAAAATCCACATAAAACAATTTAAAACAACCAGATAATCATAAAGTGCTAGTAAGAGTAATCATTCCATCATTAATTGAGATGGCGTGCTATATGATGTAACAGCAGTCAATTTCCAACTCCGTGGTCTTCTGGCATCACACGATGGTATGGCTCGATCTAATTCAAGCAAGGTCACAGAAAGACAGGTAAGGGAGGAGTGCCATTCCACAGAGTTGCCAGCCCCCAGGTGGGGTCTGGAGATCTGGGAATGACAATGGTTCTACTGATAACAGAGATCACTTCCCCTGATGAAAATGGCAACTCTGGACTCTATGGCATTATACCCAGCTGAAGTCTATTGTAGTCAGCAGCCTAGCAGGTTGGAGACCAGCATTTTATTTTAGTGCATTTATACCTCACTTTTCTCCCCAATGGGGACCCAAAGTGGTTTACAACACTCTGCCCTTCTCCACTTTTATCCTCATAACCAGGGCTATTTTTGGGCAGCAATGCACAGGAACGGAGTTCCGGCTGGCTCCCAAGTTGGCCACACCCAGCAGGAACTCATTAGCATAATAGGCCACACCCAACAGCAGAAACTCATTAGGATTGGCTACATTAGGGGTGTGTGGCCTAACATGCAAAGGAGTTCCTGCGACAAAAAAGCCCTGGGTTTGGACAACAAACAAGGTAAACAGAATAAGCAGCAAAAGGTGGGTGTGGCTGGATGACCACACTTCTGGTAACATGGGGGTGTGGCCTAATGTGCCAATGAGCTGTTCTGTCAGGGGTGTGGCCTAATATGCTAATGAGTTTCTGGTGTTGGGTGTGGCCTATTATGCTAATGAGTTCCTGCTGGGCTTTTTCTACAAAAAAAGCCCTGATGACAACTAATCTCCAGATGATAGAAATCAGTTTCCTGGGAAAACATAGCATTTTGGATGGGGTAGCAGAGGGACTTCATAAGAGTATAACACCATAGAGTCCACTTTCCAACGTGGCCGTTTTCTTCAGGTGAAGTGGTCTCTGTCGCCTGGAGATCAGATGTAATAGCAGATCTCCAGCTACCACCTGGAGGTTGGCAAGCCTCCAACCTATGTCGTTAATGCATTTAGCAAGCACTGTGGCCATTTCTCATGGAAACAATCTTCAAATCCACTAGCGCTTGCTAAATGAATGAATTACACAGGAATTTCAACGCTACCCACTCTGATAAAGTTGGAAAGCGAAACGAGACAGATGTGCACGCAATGTTCCCTCTACGCTGTGGAGTCTTGTGAGCAAAAATTCTACTTTCTGAGCTACTGGCTCTGGGTTTTTTGGCAAAACTCTATGGCAGGAGCTAATTCCACCATAGAGTTTTGCCCAAAGACCAGAACATCCCCCCGGACGTGCCAACATCACTTCTGGATCATGTAGGCATGGGATGTTAATTTCCGGCATTCCTCCTCTCCACTACCCGTAAGTGTACCCCACATCCCCTGCCAGCTGCTCCGATGGACCTGGCAACTCTAACATAAACATTTAGGAATAATCTTTTTCCTGACAATCCCCAGATGCTCTGTCTTTGAGAACTGCCGTCACCGCCCCCTTACAACCACCACTTTTCCACCTAATGTAGGGACTGAGTTCCTGATGCGTATACTGGCCAATAAGACTTGTCCTTGTTCTGCAAGCATTACTGCATTTCTGGCTGGGAGATCCGGGTTTGATTCCCACCCCTCCACATGCAGCTGTTGGTGTGACCTTGGGTCAATCACAAGTTGTCTCAGAGGTGTTCTCTCAGGAGCAGTCCTCGAAAGAGCTCTCTCAGCCCTACCTACCTCACAGGGTGTCTGCTGTGGGGAGGGGGAGGGAAAAGAGATTGTTAGCTGCTCTGAGGCTCCGAGTGAAGGGTGGGGTACAAATCCAATCTCCTCCTCCTCCTCCTCCTCCTCTTCTCCAACCTCCTAGTGGGGCCTGAAGTTCTCCTGGAATTACAACTCCTCTCCAGACTACAGAGATCAGTTCCCTTGGAGAAAATAATGGCAGTGGTGGATGGTGAACTCTATGGTTTACCACAGAGTCTAGAAGAAATAGAAGTCCTCCAGTGACCTCACAACCCTGCTGGGCTCCCTCCTTCCCCGGAGGCTGCACTCCCTCAGCTGGCACCACCCCCAGATCTCCAGGAATTTCCCAAGCTGCAGCTGGAAACCTTACTGGTGGCCCCTGGAAACCCCTCTCCCTCCCTCGTGTCTAGGGCCTCCCTTCTTACCTTGAACTGTATGTATTCGAGCAAATTGAAGTGTTTGGCATACATCCGGAAGTACTCCATCACTTTGCTGTGGTGCATGTAGTTTGGGAAATCCTTGGGGATGGGGAAATCGCTGTAACTCATCATCTCCTTGGACGTGTTGATGGTCAGAGATTTGTAAATGCTTGCTTGGCCATTGATATCACACTCCTACAAGAAATTGCCAAAGAGCAGGTCACGGGCAATAGTTTTTGTACCAGTTCCCCAAACGAGGACCTGAGACAACAGCATGTGGGTTATAACCAGTTTATTACATTGAATTTCCTAGATTAGTGTGAGATGCTGCTAACAAGCCAGCTGCCTTGGATACCAGTTTAAAAGAGGTTTATTGTATTTAAAGTATTTAATGTGCATAATAAATATAATAGCCCCAAATTTTGGGGCTAAAAAGCTGTATTTAAGGCACAAAGAGACATAGTTAAGATCACAGATCTTCTGCTTCCTAATATTTTTAAAAACTTGTCTTTTAAATGCTAACAGTGTCATGGATAGCTCATTTTCATTAAAGAGTTAAAGGATTAAATACTATATCTCTCGTCCCTGTATGACCCCAATCCAAACTAGAGGTGAATCTTCCTTCCTTCCTTCCTTCCTTCCTTCCTTCCTTCCTTCCTTCCTTCCTTCCTCCCTCCCGAGATCCATGATCTCTGTTTGTCTGTTTGAGTTGTAAAAGGACACTAACAACTGCCTTCCTTCCTTCCTTCCTTCCTTCCTTCCTTCCTTCCTTCCCTCCCTCCTTCCTTCCTTCCTCCCTCCCTCCCTCCCTCCCTCCCGAGATCCATGATCTCTGTTTGTCTGTTTGAGTTGTAAAAGGACACTAACAACTGAACCAGCACAATATTATGCGCACCAGAACTTTGACCAGGTGGCCTTTTTTCTGTCTCCTGAAACACATTCAACAGACCGGTGTGGGCAAAACACAGAACCCAGCATTCTTCCTTGAATGGACCAGTGCTGCAGAGTATTCTTGCCAAGGCAAATTCAAGCTCACAGCTTTACTTACCTGGAACTTCCAAAGCCCGCCAATGTCTTCACTCCTCTCAAAACACGTTGGCTGAAGGCCCTCATCCAAGCAGCATTTAAGGGCAGTGAGACCACTGGCTCCAGCTCCTATGACGGCAACTGTCTTTGCCATGCCGGCCTACATTAAGTAAGGGGACATTTACATTTTCTTCAGCCACTGGGCAAATGAATACATGGTGCTTGGGGGGTCAACAGTGGGAGGGCTTCTAATGTCCTGGCCCCACTGGTGGACCTCCTGATGGCACTGGTATTTCTGGCCACTGTGTGACACAGAGTGTTGGGCCTTTGGCCTGATCCAACGTTGGCGTCTCTTATGTTCTTATGAATAAATTCATTAGTGGCATTACACAGGATTCAGCCATTGCCAGTGTATATGGAATGAAGAGTTCTTTCCGTAAGATCCACATGGGAGTTTAAAATGAAGGTAAGTTTCATTCCGCCTATCAAGAGTTAAAATTCTGCATGGTGACAAAAGCGGTGTGTACAACCAATATGATTCAAAGAGTACATCCTGGGTAGAACTGGTTGTGAAAACCTGATGGCGCCGTCCTGCCCCATATCCTGACATCTGGAAGAACTGCTGCCTTCCTAAGGGCCATCCAAGCAAGAGACACCCTCCCCTTATGCATGCTAAACGTACACTTTTTTCCATTTCATCAGTCCTGATTGGATTAATGAATGTCCTTCAAAAGAAGAAGAGATTGGATTTATACCCCAAACTTCACTACCTGAAGGAGCCTCAGAGCAGCTGGTAGCCAAATTGCTATATTTCTTTATTAAAAGGTTTGGGAATTATGATATTAATGTGCAATTGGCATAGCTATAGGATCATGGCCTTTATATACCAGAGTCCCACTTTATTCAAGTCCTGGGAATAGATGCAGAGACTAGGTCTTTGAAAATCACTAGTTTCTTTTACTAAAGGAATATTCACACACAGACAAATATAAAATCAAGCAAAACACATAATACATAACTAGGAAATTAAGGTAGAAAAGTATAGAGATGTTTGCATTAGCAGGTATTTCGTTGAGGGGTGATACGTACGTGTCCAGATGCAGTGAGTAGAATCGGCAGCGAAAAATAGAATGACACTAAGGGAAAGGATCGTGTTCTGACCAGCAGAGCCACATGGAGAGTTCCAAACAGCGCTAGGATAGAACCTGTGAGGCAGGGCAAGGTGGGAGGGGTGAAGAAGCAGAGAGAAGAGAGCAATGGGGTGGCCCTCTCTCCCCTTTTATACCCTAGATCTGACTAGAGGCAGATGTTTCCTCTGTCATGTAGTCCTTCAGGAAATACTGAAAAAATCTAGATGGGTCATGAGAATGGGATTAATGGTTGGGCAACAGAAATAGTTTCTCTAATAGTGACATCTCACAGAGAGAAAGGTAGACTGAAGGAGAGAACGGATTAACAGCCTGGCAGCATCACTGGTAGTTGATTCAACAACCAGATGTTTAAACAGTGGCATCATCAGGATGGGTGGCTGGCAGACGGACTGGCTTCCTAATCCTACCATGGCAGGAGCTTCTTTTGTCTAGGTTGAGGCTGAATAAACGGCCATCAGAACAAGCTGATAGAACATACCTGGGCGTAGTTTTACTGAATAAACGGCCATCGGTTAAGCACAGCAAATATGTTACTGATCTAGGGGAAAGATCCACAAATGCCATACTGAAATTTTTTCGAACTCATGGTGGACACTTTGTTCCTGCAGCCCTGAAGTTATATAAGGAGAAATCATTGGCACAACTGCTCTATGGAACATTTTTAGGACCACCTTCCTCATGCTTTACGCCGCAAGACAGAGTTCAGTCCAAATGTTTAAGAGCTGTTCTCCAAGTGCCTAACTGTGTATCCAATGCCCGGATACGACTAGAGTCTGGGAATCTTAGAACTGAAGCTAGGGTATGTATTCTATCCATCTATACGTGGCTGAATGGTCATTTCAACCCACAAGGCTTGCTTCCCCTGGTATCCCAGGATGGTTTCCAATCCAGTCGGATCAAGGCAGTTCACTATCCTATTCATAGAATTGGCTTCTCACCTCAGCTACTCTTATCCTATGAACAAGCCAAAGGGCTAATCAAACAAAGAGTTGAGGATACTGAGCGACAATCTGACATCTCTAAGGCTTCCAAACTCGGGGTGTTGTTAAATATCAAAAGCACAATTGAGCCGGCAATACATTTGACTTCAGTGGAGGGAAAGAATAGAAGGGCATTTGCCCTAGCCAGATGTTCTGCCCTTCCATCTGCAGTTATTCAAGGCAAGTACAACAAAAAACCCTACTCTGAAAGGCTATGCCCATGCCTTTTAAGTGAGATTCAATTGGCAGAGCTTATGTTCTTCAGCTGTCCATTTTACAGGGAGACTTGTCTTAAAATGACCCCATTAGTCAACAGGACACCTGGGCACATTAACACAAACAAAGCAAGGCTTCACTGGCTCCTATCAGATAAGAATACAGAGATTACACATTCAGTTGCTGAGTTCTTAGATTGTGGGAAACATTTTAAAAGTTCTTAAATTCAGGTTTCTATTTTTGTGTATGATGACTGTTTCCCCCCCCCTCCCTCACATATTATGCTTACTCTGTATGTTGGTCTTAAAACTGTAATAATAAACTATAATAATAATAAACTATAGGTTGAGGCTGAATACGTGCTTCACCTGGGGATGTCAATATGCAAGAGGTTTGGGGGGGGGTGCCTGCGTGGTGGAGGAGAGAGCTTTTCTTGGGGTCTGGGCAGGAATATTCCTGGTTCTTGTAGCTGAGTATGGCTTCTCTTCGCGAACTGCTGCTGGATCTCTGTGTGAGCAGGATCAGGGAGGCTGGCTTGCCATCTACCCGGGTCTGCAGCAATGTTCCCTTTAAGCTGTGGAGTCTTGTGAGCAAAACTTCTACTTTGTGAGCTACTGGCATTAAAATTGTGAGCGAGCGACTTGGCTACTGCATAAATTCGTTGGCTCTGGAGCCCTCCTTCCTGAGCTAAGACAAAAATGTGTGAGCCAGAGGCTAAAAAGCTGTGAGCTAGCTCACACTAACTCAGCTTAGAGGGAACAGTGGTCTGCAGTGTCCTTGGAGATGCAGGGATGGGTGGCATTGGGGGTTCCATGGGTCTATGTCTGGTCTAAGATGCTGCTTCAGTACAAGGTTTCCCTTGGCTGGGTAAATGTCTTCCGTCCAGTAAGTTGGCATTGTCTCATGGGCACCATGTAGTCCATTTCCCCTGGCAGACAGTTTGCACGGTCCAGCTATACAGTTTATAAGCCATATAAAGCGTCAACAGGCTAACATGGCTTACAATCTCCTTTCCCTTCCCTTCGCCACAATGGGGAACCTTTGAGGTAGGTGGGTCTGAGAGAGCTCTTTCGAGAACTGCCCTGGAGAGAACAGCTCTGAAAGAACTTGTAACTGACCCAAGGTCACACCAGCAACTGCATGTGGAGAACTGGGGAATCAGACCCGGTTCTCCCAGGTTAGAGTTTACTGCTCTTAACCATTACACCAAACTGGCTCTCAAAAAAAATTGAAACACTCTCGTTTTACGCATGTGCAGTTGTTCCTAATGGAAAGGATAAGGCCAATGTAAGTTGTACAATCCCACTAACCAAAAGGAGCACAACATTGTCATTTTGAGTCAAACAAACTCTAGCCCAGATGGTGCACGTGGCCAGCCTTTTCCCACTGTGCAGTGGGATTTTTGTTTGTTGGTTTTGGTTTTTGCACTGCATGGGATCCCCACAGAACTGGGTTTCCCAGAACAGCCTGATGTGTGCCAGAATCTGCAGTTGCCCATGGATTGACTAAGCTCCGCGCTGCAGTTTGTCCGGAACACGTGGCTCTAACAGTCTCTTATGTGTTGGCCTAAAGCTGTGTTGGAGAAAAGCAGCTCCTCTCTATCCACTCTCTCAGCCTCTGAAGAGACCAGTGCAATCCTGTGTAGAGTTACTCCAGTCTAAGCCCACTGATGGAGTAACTAACTCTCCCTAGGATTCCCCTGGTAGTGAACAGACGACACTTTGACCCATGCCATGTCAACTCCTATAGAACCAACAGA